CTTGTCTGGAACCAGACAGACAACAAAATTTGAAACACGCAAGATCACTAGTAAGTAAGTAAGTGAAGGACCAACTTGTCTAGAACCACACAGACAACAAAATGTGAAACACAAAAAGATCACTAGTAAGTAAGTAAGTGGAGGACCAACTTGTCTAGAACCACACAGACAACAAAATCTGAAACACAAAAAGATCACTAGTAAGTAAGTTAGTGGAGGACCAACTTGTCTGGAACCACACAGACAACAAAATCTGAAACACAAAAAGATCACTGTTAAGTATATAAAGGACCATTTTGACACCAGTGGCATATAGTGCTAAACTCATTTTTATTGACCAGAGTCGTGGGGTCAACAATATACTATCCACCCACATACATCAAAATATATTACCCTATTTTAAGCTGCGACCCAAGTTAATTGGGGGGGGGGGGGGAAATCACGAGCACTAGTATTATAGTGCATAATAGTGGAAAAAGGGGGGGGGTGTTAGAAATGTTTCATTGGCCTTTTGCTCTGAAGGTTTAGGAGATTTAGTTTGTCAGTACAGGTATTTTGGGGTCATCATTGGGAATGCAGAGTTGGTTATTTGTGCAGTACCCTTGGCAGCCACTCTGTGGAGAGTATCAAGGCATATGAGGATAAACCTTGTTAACTTTTCATACCAGAAGAAGGTTTTATTAAAAGATGCCAATAAAGAAATAACCTATATTAAAATGCAGTGCTTTCATAAAAGTAATACACTAGTAATGACCACTGGACAGGCCAGATTTCTTTAGTTTGCTCTGACCAAATACAAATAGTAAAAAAACATGAAGTAGAGAGGGAATACTGCAAATAGAGTGATGTCCACATCATGTGTTGTTAAGTGAAATCAGTTTCTCTTTTTGGCTGTTGTGGTTTTTCTAGGCAAATTTATGTCCTGTAGTTTGCCATTGCTTTCTGGATGGGTTTTCTTCTCGATATCACTGTCAAAACTAACGCAAGGCGTGCAACTGGAATCAAACCCAGCAACCCGGCATTACGAAGCGTGTTCACAACACCAAAGCCTAAGGTCCTTGTTTGACCTAAAAATGGAGATCCAGTCAATGTACAGAGGTCAACATTTCCAAATATGACCTGAAAATGGAGATCCAGTCACTGTACAGAGGTGAACATTTCCAAATATGACCTGAAAATGGAGATCCAGTCACTGTACTGAGGTCAACATTTCCAAATATGACCTGAAAATGGAGATCAGTCACTGTACTGAGGTCAAGATTCCCAAATATGACCTGAAAATGGAGATCCAGTCACTGTACTGAGGTCAACATTTCCAAATATGACCTGAAAATGGAGATCAGTCACTGTACTGAGGTCAAGATTTCCAAATATGACCTGAAAATGGAGATCCAGTCACTGTACTGAGGTCAACATTTCCAAATATGACCTGAAAATGGAGATCAGTCACTGTACTGAGGTCAAGATTTCCAAATATGACCTGAAAATGGAGATCCAGTCACTGTACTGAGGTCAAGATTTCCAAATATGACATGAAAATGGAGATCCAGTCACTGTACTGAGGTCAACATTTCCAAATATGACCTGAAAATGGAGATCAGTCACTGTACTGAGGTCAAGATTTCCAAATATGACCTGAAAATGGAGATCCAGTCACTGTACTGAGGTCAACATTTCCAAATATGACCTGAAAACGGAGATCAGTCACTGTACTGAGGTCAAGATTTCCAAATATGACCTGAAAATGGAGATCAGTCACTGTACTGAGGTCAAGATTTCCAAATATGACCTGAAAATGGAGATCAGTCACTGTACTGAGGTAAACATTTCCAAATATGACCTGAAAATGGAGATCAGTCATTGTACCGAGGTCAACATTTTCAAATGTGACCTGCAAAATTCACTGAACCACTTTCAACCAGCTTCCCCGAGCTTGAGGTGAAATGGTGGTCTGGATTATTTGCGCCAAGTGCAGGGCTTGAAACTGCTCTCACCAAGCAATCCCGATAAGGACTCTTCTTGCAAGTGTTGATGCGACGACTGCAGCTTCCAACCACCTTCCGACGGGCGATAGAGTCGCCCTTTGGAGAACCCATAAGCGACCCCGCGATGGTCGATCACACACAAATAAACTACCCTTACTGACCTACTTTCTTATAATAATATTTCACATCTATTCCCCGCCCTTTCTATAATGAAATGAAATTGTTCGTTATTTGAAGCCCTACTCTGGCTCTTGTCAGGGGCCGCAATATAGCCTGGCCATAAATATTGCCAAAAGGCTCAACGCGGTTTTTGGGACCTCTCCAAGGTGATCCTCACTCACATGGTGGCACATTGTGTCATCGGGTATTTATCGCTTGTGTGATGTCCTGGTGGGGTGGAAAGTCAGTCAGTCATACCTATTTACCGCTTTTCAGTGCAGTGTATGGCAAGGAATTGTGTGCCTAAGGATTTAACGCTGCATGGTGGGCACAGTCGCCGCAAACTGCAGCAGGGTTGATAGATTTTTTAATAATTTTTTTTTATTTTAGGCCAAACTACTACCCAAATTACGCCAGAAAAACGCCACATAAAATGTAATATTATACTCACTTCACATCAAAAGCTCTAGACTGAATTCCTGACTGTCATTCTCACTGGAGCAAGTGGAAGATACAGAGTAAACCTTTTCAGCCTTTAATGCAGGCGCTATAATATTTTTTTGTTTATTATGCATGAACATTTAGTTCAACGCAACTGTAAGTGCTCCAATATATCCCCCCCCCCCCTTTCCGCCCCCCCCCCCCTCGACCATGCGCTCTTATGACTTCACTTAGATGCTTACTGCTTTAATAACTTTATCATTGCCTAGAAGTCATTGTTGTAATAAGCTGTGACTGGCTTTTTGATGGAAGTTTTCATGTTGTGTTTTTCGTATTTTTCAATTATTTGATATTACTAATTTTTCGCGTAACAGTGCACTGACACAGTTTATAATTCGCTGCCTCTGATCCGTCTGAAAATCTTTTGAGCCGTGGGTATGTTCTCTCCCAATTACTATTATACTTGTGATTGCTGTCATAAGATGCTTTAAAAAAATTATTCTGTGGCTATTGTTAAAAGTAATAAAATCTATCACAAATAGAAATAGGTCTATATCATCTCTATTTTCTGTCCTCAAGTAGTTTCTGAACAGTCTGAATTCTTGGTATCGGTGGTGGGTTTTGATTTTAATTCCCGAATGTATTATAGTAAATTAACATAAATTCTGGTAATTTTAGTTTCAGCTTCATAGCAAACGGGTCACCCCATATTTGCTCCGCTCCTGTGCCAACGAAAAACACACAGAATGTTTATCACAGTTCCTTGTAGAAAGACTGACAAACTGCTTTCTCGGCAAATCTAGCATACACTCGCATTAAAAGCATATGGTAGCCATCCGAAGTGCTAACACAAACAGTCCGACATTAGAAATGCAGTTCATCATTGATGGTTGCAGAAGTCACCAAAAGATCAGCTGTTGCACACGCGATAAATTTTAATCAAATAATGGCCCCACCAATATTGCGACAACCGGCATCGGGCCATTTTCTGAATCTACAAATCACACCACCACGTTGGTCAGTCGAAAAACATTCCAAATGAAATCCGCAGCTTACAGTGTCACGCCATGCACTCAACTCAGAAGCTTGGCAACGAAACTATACTTCCTGTCAATAAATTGAGCAAAAAGGCAACGGCCACAATCTGGCAGAAGCAAACATGTATGCCTCAGCTCAAAACAGTGGCTGTGCCTAGTGTTCATTTGGACCTGAAGCATTATGTGAGGGTTAATAAACTGTCAACCTAGCAGTACCCTACTATTAGCTGGGGAAGGGATTTAGGACATTACATCCACCAGCAAGCGTCGCCCCAACAACGTCCTGACTGCCTTCGTTAACGACTGTTCACCCAACAGCCATGCAGTTCTTTGGCACGAAGGAGACACCTTGAACTTGGGTTTGACATAAATTACAGAGGGCCTTGGTTTATCGAACTCACGATCCGTTTAAGAAAACAACAACGTATCATACAATAAGAGATGGCGCGAATCTCCGCTTGTCCATACCAGGACATCACAACAAAAACAAACTAAAATAAAGATGTTAACTGCAGGCCTACATTGCTTTACTAAATCTGCGTGTTTCTCACGGAGGAACCGTGAAGAAAATGTGAGCACGTCCTGTTTAGAAAAGCAAGGAAAATAAGCCAAAATACACCAGTTCCTTATCTTAAGCCAACTAAATTTCAAGTACGTCAAATTTGTGGAATCTGGCGTCAAATATTCTAGTATGGCAACCCTGCTGTGCATGTTGGGTTTTTACTACAGTAAAGGGTTCCAATCACGGAAAAACCTATCTCGCTCAGACGCGAGATTTCGTGGCCGTTCCCACGGGCTGTCTTATGTTCTAGGGGTGTTATGATATGCCTTCCGTCTCTGTCTATACACACCATGATGAAAACTGAGCGTCGTTCGGCGCCGTCGACACACTGTCTCCCAGACAAAACTGCGCAACTTTCTTGTCGCAACTATAGAGCCCGCGCCAGCATTAAACAACCCGAAAATGATATCACTGCACAAAAACTAAACTGTCAGAAAAGAAGAGGTGGTTACAAGTGCCAATTCAGCAACTGTGTATGGTAGCCAAAGTACAAACATAACTATTGCTTCACCCGCTGCAATATTGTAGGTCAAAGTACATGGGCCATTTACATTTAACAAGAAGCCGGATTGTTTATTTACCGATAGCCATTCGTTGAATGTTTGTTGTTAAATTCTGACGCTGTGCAGCTAAGTAGTTTAATTAATGATAATATATTTTAGCAGTGTTAATTTGACAAAATGCCTATTTTAAATCATTATATGTTTATGTGACTAAAGCTGTAGTGTCGTCTTCATCGGGTTCGCGAAAGAAAGTCAGTTCAATACCCTTGGATTTTTTTTTTTCACTCAAAAGATTCACGGATTACCATCTGGCATGCAAGACATACACACGGCAACATTACAGGAGACCTGTTTTTACGAAAATAGTAAACCTAGCGGGGATAAAAACATAAACGACTATGACGCGGTGTTGTTTACTGTTTGCGATGTTTTCGGCAGGCCAAGGGGAAAGTTTGCCTATGGCAAGAATATACAACGATTTGCGAAAGAAGGGATGGAAATGCCATACAGTATGTAAATTGTTTATTTGTTCATGTGAAAAGGTCATATTTGTCATATCCGGTTTGGTCTATAACATTGTCCCTAATGCCACTGTGATAATAATATCTCCTTTTGTGGTTTCATGAGCCGCATTTCAGTGGAAAAAAGGATAGATGTAAGAAGCATGTCGTAAAAGGCCACTATAGGGAATTTGCATACACAGTACGGCCATTAAATAATGAGGCTGACTTTTTTTTTTTACAATATCCATGACAATATCCCCATCCATTGAACCAAATAATGTCATCCCACAAGGAAGCCTTTCTTTCTGATGTGATCAAATTTTAAGGCGCCCCAGACGCAAGCGAAAAATAACCCACATTTCGTTCAACTAGTCAGAGCCGCTTTGTTACGTGTGCAGCATAGAACACAGAGCAAACATTAAATTATGTTTATAACTCGGAAAAGATGCTTTTGAGACGGTTGAAGTGAAAATACAAGACTAAGAATATCAATGTTTCTGTCGTGCGTATATATTCAAGTGGTATTCACGGTTCAAAACTGTATCAGAAATACTCAAGAGTAAGCTCGGCCGGTAAGTCAAATGTCTGTTCTCAGTGATGAATTCATTGCTCAAGTCGGAGAACGGACACACGAAGACAGATGCCCGACTGTGATGATGCTGGCAGATGAACTTTATGTTGAATTTTATCAGATTAATTATGGTACACTTCTTCATTAATTCGGCTGTCCCAAGTGTACATTTGTCCCCTTTTCTTCCCTCTGCCTCTTGTTCAGGTCTCTCTATTCTTTCTGTGCCTTTTCATTTTCTGCGCTTTCTATCTATCTATCTATCTATCTATCTATCTATCTATCTATCTATCTATCTATCTATCTATCTATCTATCTATCTATCTATCTATCTATCTATCTATCTATCTATCTATCTATCTATCTATCTATCTGTCTGTCTGTCTGTCTGTCTGTCTGTCTGTCTGTCTGTCTGTCTGTCTGTCTGTCTGTCTGTCTGTCTGTCTGTCTGTCTGTCTGTCTGTCTGTCTGTCTGTCTGTCTGTCTGCCTGCCTGCCTGCCTGCCTGCCTGCCTGCCTGCCTGCCTGCCTGCCTGCCTGCCTGCCTGCCTGCCTGCCTGCCTGCCTGTCTGTCTGTCTGTCTGTCTGTCTGTCTGTCTGTATGTATGTATGTCTGTCTGTCTGTCTACCCACCTATCTACCTGCCTGCCTGTCTGTCTGCCTGCCTGTCTGTCTGTCTGTTTGTTCATCCATCCATCCAGCGAGCCAGCCAGCCATCCACCCATCCATTTATCTATGTGTATGTATCTCTCCCTCTCTCTTATATAGTTTATAATATACGTGTGTATGTGCCCTCCTTTAACCATCAGCGACATGCGTCCTCGGCTTCCAGTGCGAGAAGCCAGCTACACTGAGCCGCTATGGAAGGACCACAGACGTGACCAGAAAGTTGCTCCCAGAGCTCTCCACCTTGCGTCCCTTGAGTTGGCTTTGCGACGGAGACAGAAAGGTAATATAAGATGTTAGCAACATGGCTACAACAGGGATAGGAAAGCCAGGTCCACTCACACAAGTGAAACATTAGCAGGGGGAAGGGTAGGGAGGAGGAGTTACCAGATCAGTTCAGTCGAAAGGCACATTGTATTGTGGTTCGTGACATGGTGATTTCGGTCACCGGCATGATGGAAAGTTACCGCTATTGGCTTGTGTATAAAGTGATACTCCGTACCTCACCTCGGGCGTCAGAAACGCTCTGCTGGTTTTACGGATCCCGAGGCAAAACTCTTGCCATACGTCTACGTCGTGCCCTATGGATAATGGCTCATTATGACCTGAGCCGAGCTGGCGGGGGAATCCCGGAGGCGGTCGTTGTTCCCAGTCACGGCGTTCTCTATTTATATACAGACGGACCTGTCCCAGTCTGGCTCTAATGAGCCAGCCCCCAGCGCAGGGGTGAAAACGGCTATCTATCATTCGGAATATGAGTAACGACCGCTGGTCAAATATACTACTAAATTACAACTCTCGGTTAAAACCTATGTCGAGCAGTCAAAAACAACTGCTAAGATTCAGTCATAGACCATGAGATTGACCCGCAGCTTAGACGCATGTGGGCGGTTTCTTGAGGGATAGTCCTGTTTCCCTACATCTTTTGTCGGCCCTCAGCGTCGCCATTACCACACTGAGGCACACAACGACCAAATGGTAATACTAGTCCTCTGATTAGACCAAAAGTTCTGTCAGTTACGTCACATGACGCAACAGCAAAGACTTCAACCGACTGTCAAAAATCTCCTGGCTGGCAGAAAGGTTCAAAAGTCCGTCGGGACCAAACAAGCGAGGAATGTCTGATGAATGCTTTCTCCACACTGTAGTGCTACGTGTCCAGGTGAAACAGCTGTGAGAACAGGTCGAAAGACAAGCGTTACCGACCACACCATCCATCGATGGTCTATGAAACAATAGGGCATGTTTCGTGCGTTCTGTAGGCCTCAAGAAATTGAATAAGAGTGTCTAATTTTGCCTGGTGCTACTACAGCGATGCGGCCTCCACGGCTTTTGCGTTGTGAGTACGACTCGTAATTACAACGTACCGCGATCGAAACCCATTACGGGCTGCTTGGATTTTTTTACCATGGTATGGGGCGTAGCATGTCGACCCAGCCTAAAATGGGTACCAGGATGGCAGTCCTGGGAAAATAAAGACTGCTGTCGTAATGCTTACCACATAACCCACATCGTGCCGATTGGTCTGTAAAAATATGTTTGCCCTCTTTACATATGCCCGATGCGCTAAAGGCGTGAAAAGGGATCTTTACTTACTATCTACTACGTTTAAAAAGATTTTTTTTATTTTTTTATTTGATGGCTAATTTTTTTATTTTTTTTTTTATTTCCGAAGTCACTAGACGTCTACTTATTGATCATAGATAGTGAACAATAAAGAAAACCATAGGAAGGGAAACCCGAAAGACACATTAAACTTCCGGCTACCTCTCTCGGCGTGCCGGTGACTAGAAGACTGCTGTCTGGGTACAACTGTGCTTATCATCAACCACCAGGTCCATTACAAGACGTCCCTCTCGTCACCACACCCCTGAAAGTCTCTCTTTCTCTGTCCAGTTCTCCAGCCATATTTGCTTTCTAAGCAATGTATCTTCTTCGATGACTTTTATCCACACTCACGAAGGTCTGCCTCTGCATCTGTTTCGGAAACGGTATTCTCCATCACTGTTTAATCCAGACCGCAATGGCCTTTAACATGACCAAAATACATGTGCTACAAGAAGTATTGTTTCCTATCTGCAGATCGGCCATGTGTTGTGCGACTTCTATGACACAGCAGGACGTCTGGATCCATCGTCCCCAAAAAGCATAGCATTGAAACAGCTGCAGGACTTGCAGGCTCTTGGCTTTAACATTATGACAGCATTTGAAGCTGAGTTCTTTTTGTATCATAAAGGAACGCTCAATCCTCTTGGTGGCGATGTAAGTATTGTCTCGTTGTTTAGGGGTCAGCATTGGTTAATTTGTTAACGGAAGTCACAATCTGTTTAAATCACCACTGATTACTAGCATCATGAGAGCTAATAGACTGAAATGGTTGGGGCATATTGAAAGAATTTCAGATGACAGAGAAGTAAAAACTGTATACACAAGTAAGATGATTGGTCGTAGTCCACGAGGGAGACCAAGAAGACGATAGAGTGATAATATCCAGACAGACCTGCAAACACTTGGTGTCACCCGCTGGAAAGAGAGGGCCAACCAGTGAGATGAATGGAGGCGGGTTATCTGCAGTAATCAACCTCAAGGGTTCGGAATGCCGAAGAAGAACAAAATTGGTTGACTCTTAGTGGTTGTTTGTTACACGAGAGCTACGATAGGCGCGCCACCATAAACAACACACCCAATCATTTTATATGCACGATGCAGGGCTCATTACTTTTTTTTCCCCGTGTGGGTTCCGAGACCCCATTGTGGGGAAAACAAGAATAGACCCACTGCCTCCCCAAAAGCATGTCGTAAGAGTCGACTAATTGGGGAGCTTCCTTTGAAGTCGGAGTGCATCTGCCAGAGAGGCAGGGAACCAACAGTCTGTATTCAAGAGAATGAGATCAGTAAAACTTATGCACACGCAACACTCAGGTTCTGGAGCAGGACTGCAGTTCAGTAGTGGACGAGCAACCAGAACCTTCCGCCAGAGTTTACAGCTGGTGAACGCGAAGAAGAAGATTACTTGTTTAGCGGTGCAATAATAATAACAACAATGGTCGGATAGTAGGAGCTTTGAATACCAGCACCCACCTGGCTTACACCAATGCTCTCTCCAGATAACAGCTTTAAAAGCCCGTTGCTAATGCACAGATCAGTTATCTCATCTTGGTCCTCTGGTACCTCACGGTTTCGAGGTCAACTATAATTTAAGTCCGGTAGACCAACCATAAGCTTGTCACTCTGGTCGTGAAGGTAGTCAACTGAGCTAATTTACTACCGCAGCGACAATATAGCACCAAATATAACAGCACCTGTTAAGTAACCATATCGTTATGTCCCTGTTGAGTCCGATGAAGTGCAGAAGGGGAAGATCGGAGCCTGGCTTCATGACCCAGGTCGGCCCACCTTCCAAGATTGTTTAGGAAAGCAATGGGGCGAAACAATTGACGACGAAGGATCTCTACTGATGACCTATGGACCCCTGCTGCCGTGTGGAGTTCTTTTTATTATTACGGGAAAGAGCCCGTTTGTGTGCCTCGTAAATTGGGATTCGCAGGGACTCTGAAATTCCCTCCACTTCTTCCCTTCCCGCTTGGTCTATACATCATTGCTTACTGTGGTATACTGTCTGCTCACATAGGCCTTGCATGGCCAAACCATTTCACCTGTTGACTTCTAATAAAATCCACACCCGCTGCTATTCCCTTTCGGATTTCGTAGTTTCTATTCTTATCTCTTCTTGTTATATTAATAAAGTAACAGAAAATGTATTCTTGTTATATTGAGAGCTCTTCGCAAAAATCTTAGGTCTAGCATTGATAACACAGGTTTGGTATTGATAACATAGGGTTGGCATTGGTAATACAGGGTTGGTATTGATAACATAGGGTTGGCATTGATAACACAGGGTTGGCATTAATAACACAGGGTTAGCATTGATAACACAGGGTTGGCATTGATAATACAGGGTTGGTATTGATAACACAGGGTTGTCATTGATAACATAGGGTTGGCATTGATAACACAGGGTTGGCATTGATAACACAGGGTTGGCATCGATAACACAGGGTTAGTATTGATAACATAGGGTTGGCATTGATAACACAGGGTTGGCATTAATAACACAGGGTTAGCATTGATAACACAGGGTTGGTATTGATGACACAGGGTTGGCATTGATAAAACAGGGTTGGCATTGAAATTGATAACACAGGGGTGGCAAGAAGATTGTACCATAAATAGATCTTTTGGTTTCTTTTGATACATGTGTGTTGCTTACACTTGGTCCCATTTGCCCAATGAGTTGGTTCGCTTTGCTACATCTGTCATCAATCTCATCTTCGGTTTTGCCAGATGATGATATTTCGCTTCCTAAGTATTCGATGTTTGTTCCAGAGGGTTTCTGTGAGCGGTATACTTATTGTGTTGTCTACTCTGGCTATGGTCATGTCATCTGTTTTTTTTTTTTTTTTTTTTACTTCAATTTTCATGTTATGCACTTTTGCAAATTTGGTTTAAATAGTTTTTATGGTTTTGCAGTTCAGATTCTTAGACAGCAGTTAGTGCTTGGTCGTCTGGAAATAGTAGTTCTTTGATGAAACTGTTTAGCGTTGGATCTTCATCTCCTTGGTAAATTATAGTCCTTGTTTAGATGGTTTCTTTACAGATGTTATAAATGTTAAGTTATGAAGAGAAGAGGAGACAGGACACAGCCCTACTGTACTTGGGATTTTATTGTGAATGGTTTTGAGTGTCCTTTATTTGTTCTAACAGTACATTCACTTACTGTTGTTGTTATATACGCTTTTACATATGCTTATTAAATTCTTTTCCACGCCGTAACTTTTCAAGATTCCGCATAGTTTGTTCCTCTCTATCAGCTGTACACACATACCGTGTTTGTCACTGACTCACAGAGTGTGTTGGGAAAGGTGAAGACAGGTATGCTCCGTGCAGAGTGGTAAGCATTACTTCAGAGGTTCCAGGAAGTTAGTATCCTTTGGATATTCTCTCCAGGTCATGCCGGAATGTTGGGAAATGAACAGACAGATAGACTGGCCGGTGGTGAACTGATATATGACAAGCTAGATGTTGTGAGTGCAATCTGGAAGCAAGTGAACAGTGCAGAAGAGCAAATAGATCATTACGGTCTGAGGAGAATGGCGCAGCGAGAAGTTACCAAGGGATCTGGCCGACGCTCAACACTCAAAGGAAGAGCGAGATAAATATACATTCAGACAGTTACTGGTGCCGTCGGAATTGGAACTCTTCGTTTGCTGCTGAAGATAGTGACACAGCGCTTATGAGGGTGTCCTCAGTTCTGTATGTCGATTCTCAATTCAGCATTTAACATTCAACATTTCTGTTCCTATCTACTCTGTCAAATGCTTTTTCTTGACCAATAAAGGCTAAATAGAGTGTTTCGTTAAACTCAGCTGATTTCTCCATAAGTTGTCTGAGCGCAAAGATGGCATCTTTGCCTCCCATGTTTTCCCTAAAACCTAAGGCAGAATAGTGTTTCAAGAAACTAGGAAGTAGTTAGGTTTGTCATTTTCCTCATATTTCTTGCCTACTAGAAGTGCAAGTCATTACATTTTTTGTGATTGTTTGACATCGCATTTCATTTTGCAGTACAAAGAGCTGACCAACATGGCGAGACTGGACACAGACATCCCCTTTCTCTACGATCACGTGATGGGGTTACTGGCTTCCGGGATTCCAGTAGAGACACAGATGGAGGAGAGCGCCCCTGGCCAGATTGAGGTAAGACAGGGAGATAGGTCTGATAAATTCATGACGCTGGTTAATGTGGCCTAAAATGGAAACCATGTAATGTCTTTGCCGAACAAAGTGAAAGTAGGCATTTTCTCTAGAAGAAAATTAACTAATATGGCCAAAGAAGTACACACGCGGGTTTTTTCGTCATATCCTACCACCAAAGGACGGCACAGGACAGTCCAACATTTTAGAGGGTGGTAAGACTGGGTTTCCCGGCTGCCTGATTCTTTTAACAACCCCAAAACATCTAGAACTGGCCCTAACCCCAACCCACCGTCCCACGAGAGAGTGCATCCTAGGTCCCACGACTGCATGTAGCCTAGGCCCCACGACTGCATGCAGCCTATCTACCACCGCCCTGAAATGTTAGACTGTTCTGTGACCTGTGGATTTTCCCTGTTTGGGGTAGGATATAAAGAAAGCACCCACACGCGCGAACAAGAGGGTTAAAACCAAATTCTGTGAATAGGATAGATCAAGAAATGACATTTAAGAGATGTTTTGTTTCGTTCGTCCAACACAAGTGATGAAAATCACTTCACAATTTTTTTTTTCAAAGTAAATGGTTATTAGTTCGTAGATGGCTGAAATGTCCATCTGGAACTGGCCAACCAAAGGGATTAATGGCAGCGGGTGATATCTGCTGCAATGAACCTCAAGGGCTCGGAATGCTGAAGAAGAAGATGGCTGAAAGTGGACGTTGCTGATTACTACGATGATGATGATGATGGTAGTGGCGATGGTGGTGATAGTGATGCCTGTAACTTTTATGTGTGTTGGGAGCCCCATTTGGGCGGGAAAAGAATAGACCCACAGCCCCCTAGAGAGCATGCCATAAAAGAGCACTAATTAGAGGTGTTTCCTTTGAAACCTAAGTGCATTTGTCAGAGACTAAGAAACCAACAGTCTGCATCCAAATAAAGCACACATGTAAAACGTGTGTGCACACTAAATTCCTGTTCTAGCACAACTCCAAAGTCCAGAAGTGGATGAACAACCAGAAATTTCGCAAGCAGTTTACAGCCGGTGGACACTAAGAGGAATTTCCACATACTAAACCAGTGTTTCTCAAACTTTTCTTAGTTGTGGCGCCTTTTTTTTTTCAACTAAAATTTTTCTGTGGCGCCCTAACCTAAGTAAAAGTATAACTATTCGTACGTAAGAGATCAAAATAAATAAAACTCGCGTACATTCAAATATTTCTCGGCGCCCCTGTGAAGAGGTTTGGGAATCACTGTACTAAGCCTTTAACAGTCAATCTATTGTCATGCTTTGTTTCAGTGGAAATCAGATTTAACGATGATTAAAAAATATAGTTTTTCTGCAGTACTCAATGCAACCTCAATATGGGATCAAAATGGCTGACTCTGCCCATCGACTTCGTTACGTGACTAAATCTTTATGTGAGAGGAACGGGTTCGAGGCAACTTTTATGACCAGACCCAAGCATGACGGATACGGCAGTGGTTTCCATTTTAACCATTCACTGTGGACTTTAGATGAAAAGTAAGTATCTGTCGTTCACATACATTTTCCATATCTTAATTTTGTAGACATAATTTCTTCCTATATCTGAACACGTTGCACTAACATTTTGTATCACATCGTAGACCGGGTCGCCCACTGGCTCGCTAGTAGACGACTTCGTCACTGGTAGGGACATTATTTTGGTCTGTCTCCTTTGATCGCATCAACGCCGCAGGAGTCCTTTTCAGGGCTCTTGGTGGGGTGCTGTGCTAAGCCATTTTATCTGGCAGAATCCAGTCAGAATTACAACCTAAAGCTCCCTCTTTGGCAATGCTGGTTAAGCGTGATGATTGTTTTCCCCTAGGAAAGCACCTACCGACGTAATATTTTGCAGTTAGTAAACATATTGCACTAAACTTCCAGTTTTTTGAGAAAGTTGCACAGACAGCTAGCAGCGTGCTAACAAATTACAGTAACCCTGCCCGGTGCTTTCTTTTTTATCCACCCCAAACAAACAGTCTAATATTTCAGGGGGTGGAAGATAGGCTGCATGCAATCGTGGGACCTAGGCTGCATGCAGTCGTGGGACCTAGGCTGTACTCTCTAGTGGAACGTAGGTGGGTTGGGGTTAGGTCCAGTTCTAGATGTTTTGGGGTAGTTAAGAGCACCACAAAGCCGGAAAACCCGGTCGTACCACCATATAAAATATTGGACTGTCCCCTTGACGTCATCTGGATGTGATTTATTACGAAAGAACTCCCTCCCCATCTGTGTTCATCTAGGAAAAGATTCGACATCACAGCATTCAGGGAAAGCTCATATTAGCTTATTATTTCTTATCTTCCTCCGCAACAGCCTCTCCCAACGTGTGATCAGTCTGCACTACATTTGCCCAGTGGGAGAAAAAGCTGAACTGTCTTGCTTCCCTGTGTGAACACGCGGCACCCAGTTACGTAAATGAGTGGGAAACAAATGGCAGTAAATTTTCCCAGTGTGAATTTTAAGTTCAAATGTCAAAAGAATTGACTTTTTTGCAGGCTTGGGGGAGAGTGGGTGCAGCCAGTACATAGTTCCGAGGCCTATGAGCTCAGGGGATGACCCTTTTTTTTTTTAAACCTTATTCGGGAACTACTCTCTGAATTAGGCAACCGGTGTAAGATAGCTATGCAGTGGACACCATCCTGCTGCCGAGTTTCCGGAAATAAAAGCTGATAAACTAGCCAAGGAAGGTGCAGAAAAGGTATCAGTCCCTACCATCTCAAATTACTTAGACAGCCACCAAAACCGGCACAAGACGATTACCACATAATGTACAGATCAGAGCAAGTTTTTATTCTACGCCTTAGAACAGGACAAAGTCGACTTCGCAGCCACATGAACAGACAATTTAAGATTGGCAAATCTGCCATGTGTACATGTCGATTAGCACCTGAGATAACAGATCACGTCCTCCAAGACTGTCTTAGGTACAATGTATCACGGCAAAACTTTTGGCCACGAGAAATCTTGATGCACGCCAAACTTCGAGGGTCGCTAATTGAATTACAGTGAAGTTCATACAAGAGACGGACTTGTAGATATGGATAATATATTTCCAGCGAACGAAAGAAGAAGATGGGGGGGGGGGGGTGGGTGGGAGGGTGTGCCCACACCTTCCACACCGCCCGAAAGGCGGCAAATAAAGGCAATGTAGGCAAGTTAAACAATTATTTTGATTTTGTCATGTACATCTTCTGTTGCAGAAATGCCTTTTATGACCCAAACCACGACCATCACTGTTCAGACATCTTTAGACATTGGGTAGCCGGACTCATTCACCATGGCAACGCTCTCACCGCACTGATGAACCCAACCGTGAATTGTTATGAGCGATTAAACTGTTCCCTGACACCAAAAGATAACATCTGGAACTACAACGATAGGTAAATGCAGTAATCTTCACCCCCCCCCCCCCCCCCCACCCCAAGTGGTACGCAAGAGTAAGAACATTGTTATACATTATATTTTCAGCTCAGATGTAATAGACACTTAGTGGCAAGTACGTTTTAGAAACACTTTGTTGATGAGTACCGGCACTCGTGCGGCGTCCGTGGCTAAGGTGTTGCGAGTCCGACTCGTAAGCCAGCATACCGCTATCGAAACCCACTGCAGGCTGCGTGGATTTTTATCGTGGTATGGGACGTCGCAGGTCGACCCAGCCTAAAATGGGTACCAGGATGGGCTGTCCTGGGAAAGTAAAGACAGCCTGCGTAATGCTGACCACATTACCCACAGAGTGCTGATGGTCTGTAAAAAATATGGGACGCTCTGCACATATGCCCGATGCGCCGAAAGGCGTGAAAAGGGAACTTTACTTACTGGCACTCGTATTTTTTCTTGAAACAAACATTTCTGTTTAATAACAACAGGTACGCGATGGTACCCAGTACAGTTAAAGGCACAATTTTTCCTAGCATTACTGTATTAGAAACGTAATGGTGAGTACTAATACCTTTTATATGGGGAAGGGGGTGGGGCTGGGTAAATGTATAGACAATATTGTTAACATTCCCCGGGTGGTTTCCGGGGCCCTATTGTAGGGGAAACAAGAATAGATCCACTGCATCCTCAAAGCATGTCGTAAGAGTCGACTTATTAGGAGCTCCCTCCGAAGTCGGAGTACATCTGCCTGAGAGGTAAGGATCCAGCAGTCTGCATACAAATGAGTCAGATCTGTAAAACGGATGCACACGCAACACTCAGGTTCTGGGACAGGACTGCATTACAGTATTAGACGAATAACCAGAATGTTCCGCTGTTTACAGCTGGTGAACGAGAAGGAGAAGAATAAGATTGTTGAAAGAGTATTTGAAATGATACTGTGTGAAGTGGTTTATATATAATTTTTTAGTGAGTTATGTTATTTGTAGAAGAAATAAAGAAATGTATTGAAAACCGTTGGTATAAACATTTATATTAAAAAAGAAGATGGCGATATATTGGGTACGTCCTGAGAAGGCACAAATAGAGAACCAGCAAACAGGCACAAACAACTGCAGAGGAAAGAGGGGAATGAAGAAACAGACTTGGAGCCATATATGACGTTTAACGGTTTTTAAAAAAAAGAGGATGACGATGTGTTAATTATAGATGTTTGATGATGTGTTAATTATAGATGTTTATAGCTGCAGACACAGACCACCCTTTGCATGAAGCTCTGGGTGCAGTTAAGGGTCAGCGGCTGATAAGAGGGAGGTTATGGATGGCTCAGGCAGAAGACACAATCAGACAGGTTTGCATCCTTGAGAACATTAGGCGAGGAGAGGAGTGGGTCAAAGTGCTTCTGAACAGTCAGACTTGTGTAGAGTCATAATCACGCTGAGCCGGGAATGCAGAGACTGGCCAGCAGGTGCATCGGAGGTGGAAATTCAGCAGTTAATTCAAGATAAAGCTCGCTCAGAGGATTTGATCATTTACACAGACTGTTCAGTATCAAGAGGCAAAAGAAGTGCATGGGGCTTCTAGCAAAAGTTAATGGACGACGTTTGGTGCAGGAGAGCCTAGCATATGATACCACAACATCCAGCTTAAGATTGGAGGTGGAGGCGGTCAGGGCAGCTTTCCGCTGGCTAGAGAACACAACACACACACACACACACACACACACACACACACACACACACACTCATCGTGATTGTAACTGACTCAGAAAGCATGCTGCTGAGGAAGATCAGAACAGGTATGCTTCGTGCAGAGTGGCATGCCTCGCTGCGGAGGACACGGGTGAGGAGTATTGTCTGGATTTTTTCACCGGGGGACGCCGATGTGTTGGGAAATGAACAGGCGGACAAAAAGGCTGGCTCTGCACAACTTGGTGGAATACTGATACATAATAAGGCAGACGTGGTTAGTGCCTTGTCGGAGAGCGTGTACAGTTCAGAGGAGCAGATGGATCACCACAGTCTGGTGAGATTGATGCAGGGGGGAGTGACGAGAGGTTCTGGCAGATGCTCGAGGCTCAGAGAAAAGGCAAGACGGACGTTTAATCAGAATGCTACCGACACCATTAGTATCGAAACTCTTCGCTGGCTGCTGAAGATGGGGACAGAGCGCTTATGGGAATGCCGCGAGTGCTGTGGTGTCGGTTCGTGAATCAAATCATTATAGATGTTTGTGTAACTTGTAGCTGGATGTCTAACTTGTAGTTGTTGTTTTTTGTTTCGTTCACTCGTTAAAAGGCGATTGGCACGTTGACTTGGGGTTTACCAGCTGGGTTGTGACATCTGCACCTTTTGGTCCAACATTTCCGATTGTAACAAATCGGTCATTAGTTCCTGTCATGGCACGCCTATTACGGACAAATAGGTCTATCTTCCCCCCCCCCCCACCCCCCTAAACTATGACCACAGAATTCATAAGGAGGAGTAGCGTATTGTTGAACTCATTGCTGGGTCGTTTAAAAGACTGTAGCTGCGAAATGATGGTCTTCAGTGCATTTGGTTTCTTCGTTTTCTTTTTCTTTTTCTTTTCGACCACCCACTTCTGGACTTTGGTCCATTTGCAGAAATTGAGTTTTTTGTGTACACTATTCAACGAAAATGGCGTATTTGTATGCAGGCTATTGGTTCCTGTTTTCTCAGGCCACGGCCAGCTCCAGATTTATATATACAGCCAGAGGCACTCCGACTTGGAAAGAAACATCCCTAATTAGTCGGCTTGTACGACATGCTTTTAGGGGGCAGTTGGTCTTTTTTTTTTTTTTTACTTAATATAGACTTCTTGCCTGCGGTATAAATTTGCTCGTCTGACACAGTTAAACTTATGTTATTGTCTCCGGTGTAGTGTTGCTCGTCTGACACAGTTAAACTTATGTTATTGTCTCCGGTGTAGTGTTGCTCGTCTGACACAGTTGAACTTATGTTATTGTCTCCGGTGTAGTGTTGCTCCTCTGACACAAATTATGTTATTGTCTCCGGTGTAGTGTTGCTCGTCTGACACAGTTAAACTTATGTTATTGTCTCCGGTGTAGTGTTGCTCGTCTGACACAGTTAAACTTATGTTATTGTCTCCGGTGTAGTGCTGCTCCTCTGACACAGTTAAACTTATGTTATTGTCTCCGGTGTAGTGTTGCTCGTCTGACACAGTTAAACTTATGTTATTGTCTCCGGTGTAGTGTTGCTCGTCTGACACAGTTGAACTTATGTTATTGTCTCCGGTGTAGTGTTGCTCCTCTGACACAAATTATGTTATTGTCTCCGGTGTAGTGTTGCTCGTCTGACACAGTTAAACTTATGTTATTGTCTCCGGTGTAGTGTTGCTCGTCTGACACAGTTGAACTTATGTTATTGTCTCCGGTGTAGTGTTGCTCCTCTGACACAAATTATGTTATTGTCTCCGGTGTAGTGTTGCTCGTCTGACACAGTTAAACTTATGTTATTGTCTCCGGTGTAGTGTTGCTCGTCTGACACAGTTAAACTTATGTTATTGTCTCCGGTGTAGTGCTGCTCCTCTGACACAGTTAAACTTATGTTATTGTCTCCGGTGTAGTGTTGCTCGTCTGACACAGTTAAACTTATGTTATTGTCTTCGGTGTAGCGCTGCTCGTCTGACACAGTTAAACTTATGTTATTGTCTCCGGTGTACTGTTGCTCCTCTGACACAGTTAAACTTATGTTATTGTCTCCAACGTAGTGTTGCTCCTCTGACACAGTTAAACTTATGTTATTGTCTCCGGTGTAGAGTTGCTCCTCTGATACAATTAATCTGTCGTTTTTACTCCTGGGAAAGATTTATTCGTCTGACATACTTCTTTTTTTCTTCTGCCTTCTATCCCCCAGTGGAGCAAAGGTCATCCTCTCACGCCAAGTCGTTCTATCCCTCGCTATTACGTGCAGCTCACCACCGTGTTGTCTCACTTCCAGAGAAATTCTCTGTCAATGCTTGACAAAAGTTGTGTCATTATCTATTAATCCAGTGTGGAGTTGTGAGTTCAGTTCATTGCTTTGCTCTATTAGTACAGAATATGCCTGACACAGTTAAACATATTTTATTGTCTCCGGTGCAGATATTTTCTTCTGACAGAAATAAACTTTGTTGAATTGTCCTTGATGTAGATATTCCTCGTCGTCTCTGATGTAGTTAATCGAGAAAAAGAAAGTGTATTGATCGGCACTCATAGAAAGAATAGTTGTCTAACACAAAACATGTTACTACCTCCGATGTAGAAGAACTCTTCGGACACAAGTAAACTTATTTGATTGTCCCTGATGTAGATATGCCCGTCTGAGAGTGAAAACTAAAAGCAGGAACATACATATTGAGGACCGAACGCCATCTTCAGCCTCCAACCCCTACCTGTGCTTGGCCGGACTGGTAGCTGCAGGTGTTGATGGCATTGCAAGAAAACTAGAAGCCCCGCCACCAAAAGCTTACAGGTTCGAATACGTTTTTTTTTTTATGGTGATATTGCTAGGTGTCGAACAGTAAGCACGACCTCACTTGCTCCTCGGGGATAACCATTATTTAATTTTGTATGCAGAGCGAAAATATGTACGGAGCGGAAATATGGAGAATAACTAAGGAAAATACAAATAAACTAAAAACATTCATTAATCGGTGCCTGCAGAGAATAGATGGAATTAAAAGATATGATAGAATCACTAATGTAGAGCTTTGGCAGAGAACAAAACAAGTTCCAGTGGACCAAGAGGTGAAGAAAAGATGCTGGCTTTGAAATATAAAATAATAGATACACTGTCCCTTAATATGTCGTAAAAGGCAACAAATTAACTGTTTTGAGTCCCACAGGGTTAAGCATCACAGGCCCAATGGGGTAGTTATGAGAGACGTAAAATCAGCGCATCCTGCGTTCATTTGGCTTCTAGGTATGAACCTATGATGCGGTTTTTAGGAATCAAAGCTAAAATTGGATGGACATTTTTTTGGAGATGTCTTGACATAAAACTTACAAAGGGAACAGAATATCTGCATCAGACGTCAAACCATATTCTTTTCTTTTGACAAAACCTGAGAGTGCCGTCTGAGAGCGTAAGAGACAACAGCAAGTGCAACAACACAGGAATCTCCGAGATACCTCCCCCCCCCCCTTTTTCTTTGCAAACCAAAGGATGCGGTCCGAAATTGAACCTACAGCCCCCAGAGTGCTAAACAGGCAGCTTAATCACAAGGTGGCGAAGCACACATGTAATCCCTACATACGCTTGACACTGCCATTGTTCATGGCTACGCCCTTCAGTTCACGAGTGCAATTTTTATGGAGATCCCTCGGGATCGTCGCCGGAGCTATGGACGTCATGCTCTGCCTGGCGCTTCCAGCAGGCAGCTAACCGTTCTGCGGAGATAGACCGAGCCATATGGGATAAATTCCAGTGCAGTTAAGTCAAATATCTTGACTTTAACCTTTATTGCCCCCCCCCCCCCAAAAAAAAAAACAGAAGAATCATTTTACTATTTATTCTGTCAGTTTACTATTTATTACAAATATGCCGCTCAGTTTAAGTGCATAATATAGCAAAATAATGCTTGATGCATGCTTATGCCACTAATGCACAAACCATAACTTGTGAAAGTTACCAGTTACTAGTACTATGGTGCTAGCTGTCCATGCATACTCTCAACAGCAAAGCGACGAGGAGTAAAATATCATGTGGTACCCTCTCCAATTATCTGCTAACGCTTACACATGCAAATCTATCATGCCTCACCACTGATACGGAGCATCACTATCTTCCAAAGGAGTTAACTAACCAACCCTTCTCTTGTCTGTGCCGTATAAAATAACTGTGTGTGTGCTTTTTTTTTTAGGCCTCTCGGCGCTGAACCTGAGAGTTCAAAGGTTGACAACCCTCTTCCTAAGACCTTGGAGGAAGCCCTGATAGCTCTGGAGCAAGATACAGTGTTCACGAAAGCCATAGGAGAAGACTTCATCCAGGACTATATTGGGCTTTGTAAGGAGTTTCAGTTGCAGAAACTCCAGGATTTAAAAGATAAAAACCCAGAAGACATATTTCGAGTGGAGAGAGATCTATTTTTGTATTCACTGTAGCCATGTAAATCAGTAATCCAAAGGTTTTGAAAGTGGCAAAGACTCAAAAGACAACTTATCACGAACCACAAAAAGCGATAGTCATCATTTCCAGGCCATGGTAATAGAATAAAGAAAATGGGACAGTTTGTGATGACCAGAAAGCTTCACGGAAAGGGAGATAGAAAAAGACAATGTGATTAGATTCTTGACAACCTTTTGTGATGGCATGGAATGGTGTCAGCACACAAACTGAGGAACACTGTTGGAGTTTGCACAGTATGCTCACTTCAGAAGTTGGCAATGTACTTAATGATGAAGATGATGATAATGAACCATGAAACCCTATGAACAAACAGCACATTTAAGATATCTTGATGAAATTAACCCACTAAGAGACTGGTATCCTGCCTTAGATATACGATCCACAATCTTTGGGTGTATCATAAGAAGGGAAAAACTGGAGTACGTTGTGACAGTAGGAACATTGAAAGGGAGTGAGTGAACAGTGCCGAGGAACAGATATATCATTACGGTCTGAGAAGAATGGCACTGCAAGGAGTTACAAGGGGATCTGGCCGACGCTCAGGGAAAAGGCGAGACAGATATACAATCAGACAGTTACTGGTACCATCAGAATTTTAACTCTTCGCTTGCTGCTGGAGATAAGGCTGGAGCGCTTATGGGGGTGTCCTGAGTGCTGTGATGTCGATTTTTAATTCAACATTGAAAGGGATTAGAAGCAGAGAGAATGTTTGGTATCATGGTACTGGGGGACCAAGTAGAGGAAACAACACAGACATCTTAAATAATCTGAGCAACAAGGCAGACCTCCGCAAATATGGATACAACAATTTGAAGATGCATAGGCTGTGAAAGCACACAGGGCTGGGGAATTGGCTAGAGAAAATAAGACTTTCAGGCAGTTCATGAGGAGAGTGAAGGTCTGTAAAGAACCTGCTGACTGATAATGACTGTTATTCACAGTATGTGATATCACTTAAATTTTTTTAAAGTGTGTGTTTGCATTATGAGCAGCTTTTCATTCCATAAATGTTGCTTAAAAATGAAAATACAGCTTAAAAACCACTAAGCCGATAATTTATTGTCATATTTCCTCTTCTTTGTTGTCTAGAACTCTTTTTTTTTCTCCATTTGTCAATCTCCTACAAGGACTTGATATTCTGTTATATGAAGCTTGTACATGTGAATTGTTTATAAAAAATTTAAAAAAACACAAACAGCCTAGACATTATGATTCAAATTTTTAATTCTCTAGACACAAAAGAAAATATCAAATTTCTTTAAAAGTGACACAGAAATGGTAAATAGTTTTTAGACTATAGAATGCTGCTGCATTATCATGATGAAATTATACTTTTTGACAATATAATGTCTTTCTAACATATGCCTAAACTGCGTGGAGTTTTATCATGGTATGGGGCGTCGCAGGTCTACCCAGCCTAAAATGGGTACCAGGATGTATGTCCTGGGGAAGTAAAGATGGCTGGCGTAATGCTGACCACATTACCCACCTAGTGCTGATTGGTCTGTAAAAATATGGGTGCTCTTCCCGATGTGCCTAAGGCGTGAAAAGGGATCTTCACTTTTGCTTTACTATATGCCTAAAACTCTCAGACATTGTTTGGTTTTTATAAATTTCATGAACAAATAAAGTGGAGCAAATCTACTTCATTGTACTAGGATTTGGCTTGGTCGCTTTCTACAGACTGGCTAGCCACCTGCTGAGAGTTTAGCCACAGAATCCTTAGCACTAGTGAAAATGGCCAAGGATCCGCAGTAAAACTGTAGTCATGAACTGAACACACAACATTCCAGACAAGAGGCAAATGGCTTACCAATCAGCACAAAACCTCTGAAACTGCATAAAAGCTTTCTTCAATTCATCATTAATGGCAAGCCATAGATTACCAAAGGGGTTCCACAGATCCCAAAATTGCCAGTAGCTTGACTTGCCATGACTAGCAGTTTTCTGACTGAAATAGGTTCACTTTGAGCAGCCCAGCTAGGAAAGAGATTGGAAATCACAGCATAGGCTTCAGGTACATATGACACTGTCAGATTTCCAACAACGGCAGGGCTGAAAAGAAAAAAAAGCCAGGATACATTATGCATATCATGTCACTGAGTTATAACATGCAACATCTTCTTCATAGTATTCCCAATCTCTAAACTTCAGCAGCCAATTTTGGTTGTTCATCCATTCCTGGACTTTGGTCTAGATCCAGAACTTGGGTTTCGCATGTGCATTCATTTTACAAATTGGTTTATTTGTATGTCAGCTGTTGATTCCTAGCATAGATATACTTCTTCTTTGGTCGTACTATGTATATTGTAAAATGTCACAGAGAAGAGTTAGATGTAGTTTCCTATATGTCGATAGTTTTGTAGCTTTTGTTAATGTTTTATTGTGTTTCTTTAGTGTCTCTTTTACTCCCTGCACTCATATATTTCTTGGTCGGCCTCTGCCTTGTGGCCTGCAGTTCTTGTGTAGTACGCTCCAGCTGCTGGATGATTTTGATTCTTTGATGTTCTATAAAATCATTTACCAGAACAACAGGGAAAGCTAACCCAGTCAACAAATGCCTCCTTGCTGTTCCCATTGCATTTCTTATAAATCTCATTTTACATGTTATAATCTTACATTCTAGGACTGTCGACGTCTGACATTTCTTCTTCTTCTCTTCCACCTTGTACCTCATCCAAGTGTCGGGGGGAGATGTAATGTTCGTTGATGAGCTCTGTCAAGAGCACTATTAAGACTGATGTTCATTTCTGTAAGGCTGTTCTTTATGCCATCACTCCATCTTTTCCGAGGTCTTCTTTGAGCCACATAATCTTCTAGAATACAATCATGGAGGGCAAAAATACAAGATAAAATGTGTGCAAAAACAACAGGAAAACTTTGTTTTGAAAAACAGCTTCAGTAGTAAGAAATGTAACTTTCAGTTTACAATTTAGACTTACCATCCTTCCAACAGATAATTGAACAGAGTACCACTTCCATCTACATTTTTATTGATTTCCAGTAAGCCAAAATCAGAGCTCAGGTCGATAACCAAAGTCCTTCCACTACTTGCCTGCTCAAATTTGTAATTTGACCTGCGATGTCCACCATATCTGCAACAAACATGTCAGATTTAATTGCATATTCGGAGAACACTCACTACAGGACACTGGGAAGAAGTGCGATGTAGAGCTGCATTTACAAGTATCTTCTTCTAATTCATTCTTGAGCTGTAAAACCAGGTGGAAAGTTTTGGTTTTTCATTCACCTCTAGACTGTGATTTTGTTCTAAAACTTGAGTTATCCATGCACATCTGTTTTTATCCATTGGCTGGTCTTTCCTATTTATATGCAGACTATCAGATGCACTCTTGAGTTCCAAAGAAAACCCCACAAATTAATCACTTTTGACAACATGCATGTTAGGGAGGCAGTGGGTAAGTTCTTATTTTTCCCTCTAAAATGTGGCCCCAGAACCCACACATGGATTTTGTTTTTGTTTTTTTGTTTCATGTGGCTGTGGAATTATGTTGGGGAGTTGTATCTTTAAAGAACTAGTTGGAAGTTTAACATGCCACTGTATGAAAGTACGACATGTGCAGTGTCATCGCCACATGCCACTGTATGAAAGTACAACATGTGCAGTGTTATCGCCACATGCCACTGGGTAAAAGTATGACATGTACAGTTATCGCCACATGCCAGTGGGTGAAAGTATGACATGTGCAGTTATCGCCACATGCCAGTGGGTGAAATTATGACATGTGCAGTCATTATCACATGCCAGTGGGTGAAAGTATGACATGTGCAGTCATTATCACATGCCAGTAGGTGAAAGTATGACATGTGCAGTTATCGCCACATGCCACTGGATGAAAGAAGACTTGTGCAGTTATCACATCATGCTACTGCTGGATGACTCCAAAACTTTATCTCATGGAGTTTTTATGACCCCCCCCCCCCCCCCCCCCCCACCTCTGTTGAAACACCTTATGCTTTTAAATTATGATCAAGACAACTATAATAAACAAAAACAGCATGATTAACTGCAAGATAAAACCAATGGTTTCAAAATCAGGCAAACACATTTATGGTTTCTACTCACATATGCAGAGAACTGTTTTGAAGTTTCGGTTGAATTTCAGTCAAAGAACTGTCACTGCCATTAGAATCAACCAGCCAACCTTCATACCTTAAAACAAAATGGAAATAACATGGTATCAATCTACTAAACAATTTCTATCTTCATTCTTTCCTTATGAAGCAGCCTTTTCTTTTTTTTTTTAAATTTTCATTCTATCTAATCATTTACAATAGTGCATATAATTCCATTAAAAGTGCAGGCATTGACTCATAGCAACTAACAAAAGCACAAGCCATACCACAGTACCACATTACCCTTAGAGAGGATAACATTTATCATGTGTTTCAGATCAGGTCACAATCCAGATCTTATTCTTCAATTCCTTTTTTTTTCTTTTTTTTAAAAACACTTTGTGGGACAAAGGCAAAATAAGGTTCTGCTCTTCTGGCCACATCAACCACAGGCAGAGTCTGCTATTGTAGAGTTTCTCTGATGTTATCTTTCTATTTTGTTCTTGATCTACCTCTTGCTTTATGTCCTTTGTATGGCATGGCATTGCAAGGTATCCTCTCTAAGTGGGCAAACCATTAAATTTGCTGTCTTTGTATGTAATCTAGAATTTGTTGTGAACATTTTCTCTTTATGACTTCATTTCTGACTTTTATCTCATCTGATCACTCATGCAGCTATTCACAGACATCTCATTTCCATGATTACTAATTTTATTTGCTTTCACAATCAACACAACAGTCACACAATTTAGTATTGCCAAATCAGCCCTATATACCTATGGACCAGTAAACTGAATAGCAAATTACATACGCCAATGACACTCCATGATACTGAATTTCACTTGTTGTTTTCTAATGGAATCCAGACCTGCTGCTGCTCCCATTTTCCTCCGGATTT